CTGTGAAGATACAGAAATCGTTCAATTCAATATCAATTTCATAGCGAATAATAAGGCCCTTTCACAACTGTATGTTTTATTTAGTTAATCGTTAGTCATTTAATCCCCGTCGTCCCCTTGTGGTACGCAATTTTGCATTATTTTGAAGCCCCAGCATGGCTTGTGCGGGTGGGCGCCCGACGGCTGAACGCGGTTTCTGGGACCTCTCCACGGGTGATCCTCATCCGCATGGTGGCACTTTGTGTCACCTGGTGTTTATCGCTCTATGTGATGTCCTGGTAGGGTTAAATGTCCTTACTTAATTGTTAGTCTAGGTTTACCGAAGGCGGACCACCCCATAACAGCTCCGTTCTAGTGTCAGTAGAAATAAAACACATGGCCCTTAACCGTCCAGTTTAAAAATAGTTAAAAACTTGTCAGTCCAAGCAAAGTCTTGAAGCTTGTACATCCAAAGTAAAAATGCATAAAACAGCTAGCAATCAGATTTGCCAACACTAACACCCTCATACCAGAACTGGTGTTGTATCAGCAAAAAATATCAGTCATGAAAGCTGCCATTGCACCTTGAGGTTTGGGGGTTTTAAATAACGGATCAAAATCATGGCACACGGGTAGTAACCCATAGTGCTCCGTTCTTCTTTTTAACTCAAGTCTTGAGTCCGAAGATACTCAGCAGAGTGCAAAGGCTCTGTAGCACCGGCGAGGATCCTGGGATACTTTGGGTAAATTTTAAACTCCAAAATTTTGCCCGGGCAGCGCCTCTAGGCTTCTCTTTTATATTTCCAACGACCAACGTATTTTTTTTTTACGTGAGCAACAATGCATACGAGCGTCCGATCTCACTATCCAAAGACCAGGGGAAATTACTAGAACTCCAAGTGCACGTGAAAAAATCAAAGTACTTGCCGGGGAGTTAACCCAGAATCTCTAGCACTCTAGGCGAACAACATGCCTGCAGTTAGTAAGTAACTTAGTCAGTAAGAAAAACAAAAAACAGCAAGACAAACAATAAGAACACGAGTGAGTAAGTGAAAGACCTTCTGATATCACTGGCACAGAGAACTCATGTTGCAGGTTTCCTGATTGTATGGACCAGCCGGAATTCGGTTTTTGATGTGATTAAAATCACCCAGGTCCTACTTAGTACTTAGACATTTTCTTCTTCCAATTTAAGTCGTGTGGTAATAATAAAATATACCCCTGTGTGAATTCGAACCTAATACTTCGGGGCTGTTCAGGTAGGTGTCTTGCCATGACATCACGTTTCCGAGACTGATACCTAAAGTGCCGAACTCGTGTTTATGCTTTAGAGTTTTCTAGTGTGTGGTGTTCGTCCCGTGTCGTTATGGATCAGTCAGCAGTTTCAGGTTGTTACTGTTAATATTACTTCAGATGATTTTTACTTCCCAGATAAATTCCTGACAACTTTGATGAGTTGTCTTACCACGGTATTGAGGAGGGTGGGGGGGGGGAGGGGAGGGGCGAGGATGGGAGAGGGAGCAGTTGAAATAAAAGGGGTGAAGTATAGTATTCTTGTGCCGTGCCGATAAGCATAGACGGTCATGTTTCGCAATCTCAACACGACCAGAATCACGGATCAGGTCACTGTTCTTTTCTCGCCTCATTTATGTGGTTTAACCACTATGGTCCCTTTGTTTATTTTCATCAATATTGCTAGTAGTTTCCAACGTTCCAGTCCATTTCTTCTTATACCACTTCCTAAACATCCTCTGTCTTCGTTTAATTTCTCGGATCTTTTGGAAGAACAGGTCAATATGAGAAAAGTCGTGCTTAAATTTAGACTGGAACACATGACCACGAGACTGGCAGGCAAGAGTGCTAACCGTTAGGTCATAGGTAAACCAGCCAAGAAAATATAATGTTTTATCATATGCCACAACTGATTACAATATAGACCACCCCAATGTTTAATAGGATGGGGTTGTGTGGTCTCGAGGCATGGTGTTCACTTCGAGGGCTAGAGGTCTTGGGTTCAGCTCATCACCAGCGTTTATTCTGGTGCTAGTTTAGAGAACTAGACTGGTTTTATATTCGTATACTGCATTTGACAATCTTGTGCACTGTGCTCTAAATTTTTTACTGTTTGTCATTGTTGTTTCGTGATGTTCAGTTCATCGCCGTTGTTCATTGTAAAAAACTGGACTGGTTTTAAAGTCGTGCATTGTATTCTAACACTAAGAAAGTTTTATAAGTAATTTGCTGTGTTCTGTCAGAAATCATATAAAGTTCTTCTGTTTTGTTCTGTACACTGGGTTTGTTAAACTGTTTGCAAACTTTTATATATTTTACGACTGTGTGCATTTATAAAAAGAGAAAGCAGCTACACGGTATAAACTGTTAATAATAACGTATAAATATACTGATGTTTAACGTATATTCATCAACAGGATTTTCGTTTCCCGACTGGTTGACCCAATGCTTAACTGCGAACTACGTCTAAAACATTCATATTTCAATAACTTGAGACCCCAACAGTTTTGACTAATATCTGATTTTTAGGTCAGAATGTAACCCTGACATTGGGGCATCACATTTCTATTCATTCGCTGTCCCCCAACCACGTCTTCCACAGAACGCCGTATCGCACAGGGTAAGACCCCTTGTCAGAAGTAAATGTAACATTCACCATTTGCTCTACAGCCAGTAGTCTGGCAGTAACATCTATGTGAAATGTAACTCCCACCAGAGAATGCTTGGGTAAGTTATCTATAAAAACGATCCTACATTTATATTAAAGCGAAAACCGAAGCTTCTCTATATGCAAAGACCTTGTATGAATGTATGGTTTATCAGCGGCCGTTCTGTCCATCACAATGTTTGGATGTCTGAGCCGGGGTGATGTTGGTAATCCTTGGTGTTTCCCCCCTGGCCATCTTGCTATCTGTGTTTTTGCTGAGACATTAGCATTGAGGCGGTCCTAAGTGCTACATTTCATCAATACGCCAGTTCAGATTTCGAAGATACTATATCATTGTCATCAATTTTAGTATCGCTTGATACGTTTCAAATTCATCCCTGTAATCAATACATACTCTAGTAAAACAATTTTAGCGCGTCCCTATGTGGGACGCAATGTTTAGTTATTTTGAAGCCCCACCCTGGCTATTGCTGGAGGCCCTGATATAACCCATACTGTGGGTTGAACGGGGTTTCTGGGACCTGTCCGCAAAATAATCCTTACCCGAATCGTGACACTTTGTGTCACCGGGTGTGTTTAGCTCTGTGTGATGTCCTGGTGTGGTAAATCTTCAATTTTTAGTGAAACATTAATTTACATTTTAGTGTTGCTTATTTCAGTTGCACAGATTAATTTACCCTATCACCTTTTTAAAATACATGCTCTATGTACCTAACGCGATTCAACAAAATACAAAAGGAGAGAGGTGGGGGCGGGGGGGGGGGGGGGGGGGGAATCGCATTCAAATTAATGCGAATCCAATGAATCCATTCACCCGCCCCAGAAAAATGCGTTTTGACTTTCTGTGTATACAAATACAAATAAAAAAAAATATAGGTCCTTTATTAATATCCTACCCCAAACATGGAAAATCAACAGGTCACAGGACATTCTTATATTTCAGTGGTGGAAGGCAGTCGTGGAACCTAGGCTGCATGCAGTCGTGGGAAGTTAGGCTGCACTCTCTCTTGAGACGTTGGTGGGTTGGGTTTAGGGCCAGTTCTAGATGTTTTGAGATCGTTTAAGGCATCAGGAAGCCGGGAAACCCATTATTACCACCCTCTAAAATGTTGGACCTTCATGTTACCTCAGCTGGGGTAGAATATAAATAGAGAACCAAATTATATAGTAAAACTTTAACCTTTGTGGTTTATAGCTGCTGGGAAAGATAGATGGTAGAGAAGGAAGAAAACTGCTTCCTCGAAAGAGAGTCCCATCGCACAATAACGTCAGGCATTTGTGAAGGTATTTCTGATGTGTTTGAAATCTTTTTTATATCCTGCGAAATAGTTAGTTGCTGATATGGTGGCTAGTGTTTTCACAAGATAACGATCAGAGATATTCATAATTTTCTATGTTGTATATTTGGGGACATCATATGGTCAAGTAAAATGGCTATTGCTCTGCTGCTCAAAATTAGGTTATGGTGATGCTTCTCATTGAAATCCGACATTGACTCCAGTTGCTACAAACCTCTTTGATTTCAGCATTTGAAACATGTAACATCTTTCTTTGGCTCCTCCTGCATAACTTCCAACTGTTCACGTTTCAACTCACCAAGCTCTTTCCCAGTACAAACCTGAGTACAAATGATACTATTCCTGAGCTGAAAACAACTCATCAAGTTCTTTCCCAGTACAAACTCAGGTACAAATGGTGCTGTTCCTGAGCTGAAAACAACTCACCAAGTTCTTTCTCAGTACAAACCTGAGTACAAGTGATGCTGTTCCTGAGCTGAAAACAACTCACCAAGTTCCTTCCCAGTACAAACCTGAGTACAAATGCTGCTGTCCCCGAGCTGAAAACAAGGCACCAAGGCCATATTTGTGCGTTCGTGTGTCGTTAAAGGGGCGTTAACCTCGCAATATCTCTGATTGGGTAAACTGACTGACTGACATTCAACCACACCAAGACGGTACAGCGAGCTATAAACACCCGGTGACACAAAGTGCCACCATTCAGATAAGAATCATTCCGGAGCAAATCTCAGAAACACTATTCGATTTAATTCAACTTAAATGTTATACATAGGACCCTAGACGAATGCCGGGTGGAGCTTTATAATAAAAAAAATAAAAATAAAAAACTGCGTCCCCCATGGAGGACATCCTTTTTTACAACATAATAATTTCTAACTTTGCTATCACTTGTGACACCTTGAAATAATCTCAAGTTTATATGTCAGGGGCTAATTTCTCCCCTGTTGAAATTTAGATATCATCCAAGAAAACAGACACACGATTTGATAACAAAAGACAATCGAATATGACCAGATATAGAGTTAAAGACAGTAAGATAATTT